AATAAATTGAAGGGTTAAGTACTTCAAATACCAGTCAACTTTAAGTGCAAACTCGTTTATATCATTAACATTTCAATTTTGTCAATTTTATCACTAACGTTTACATTTAAGTGAAATTATGTCACTCCACCGTTAATGTTCTAACGAGATGATGAAATGGCAGCAGTGCACCATGGTGTTGCTGACGTGGCTTACTCACCAAAACATCGTTTTAGCAAGACTGTGTTTGAGGGTAAAAACTCAAAAAGACATCGTTTTGTTTTGAGAAAATTTAGTAAAATTGTGCACTTGTGGAGAGTTGAACTCAAGATTTTTTTATTCAAAGGCTAAGGCTTAACCGTTGTGCCAGCTTAAAATTTTGGTTTAATCTTACATACGTAATGTACATAACATGAGTCATGGATTTCAAATATTATTTTCGAAAAAACCCATAAAATTATTTAAATTCCCAAAAATACCTAAATTTCAGAAAATCTGAAAAAAAAACTCCTAAGTTCCTAAAAATTCCAAAAACTTATATATTATTGAAAAAAAACTACTATTATTATTTTCAAATGTTAAAAATATTTTATATTGATTTTATAATCAAATTTAAATAGGACTCTATATTATTAAATAATAAAATTTGACTAAATTGTTCCAGATTTATAAATTTTGTCTAGAGCTAGACTAGTACCTATAAATTTATTAAAATTTCATACATATTTAATTAGAATCAGAATCGAACATTTGTTATCCTAAATCAAAACCTACCTCGCCCAATAATAATAATTTAGGGTATAAGGTGCCTTTAAATTTCTAAAGAAAATATTTTTTATTTTTTTCCAATTGAGTATTTAAATTAACAAATTTCATTAGTTAAGTTATTTAACCAATAATTTTTATCATAAATCGCTATTATATTGATTGCAATATTTTTTTAGGAATTTAGGAGTTGTTTAAGATTTTCTGAAATTTAGAAAGTTTTTTTGGGAATTTAAATAATTTTATGGGTTTTTTAGAAAAGAATATTTGAAATGCGTTACTCATGTTATTTATATTATGTTTGTAAGATTATACCAAAAATGTAATTTGCTATAGTGGTTAAGCCTTTTCCTTGGAATAAAAAGATTGAGTTCAAATTCCCACAAGTGTATAATTTTACCAAATTTTCTCAAAGTAAAATTACGCCGTTTAGGGTTTTTTAGCCCCAAACACAGTCATGCCAAAACGACATCGTTTTGGTGAGATAGTCACGTCAGCAATGTTAAGGTACACGGTTGCCATGCCATTGTCTAGTTAGTCATTAACGGAATGATATAATTACACTTAAAAATAAAAGTTAGTGTTAAACTTAACAAAATTGAAACGTTAATGATATAATAGAGTCTACACTTAAAGTTGAATGATATTTGAAGTAACTAATCCTAAATTGAACCCTATCATATCCTTTAACTTTATATCTTTTCGTTAGTGACATCGAATGAATGCATACAACTTTTTTCCGGGAGCAAAATGTTTAAACCAAATTGGAACGGCACAAAGTGGGGAACCGTCGGCTTTTATATATAATATAGATTCTAATTGTTCAATCAACTTTCCGACTGTGAGAATCAACAATATTGCTATGTGCAGAATAATTATTCCAATGGCTCATACGTTCGTCATGACATTTGCATTTTTACGACATCAATGGACGAAACAAATTAATTTTAATTATCACTAATCTTCAAAAATTTGTATACTCAAATTATGAAGTGAAAAACAATTGATATTATCTTTCTTGAAAATAAGAAAATTTAGTTGGAAAAGATATTTTTCTTATGCACAACCGATGAGTAGGAAGCAAAGAACTAATTATAAAGTATAAATGCCGAGGAAAGTAACACTCTATTTAAACCTTTCAGTATCATTTTTCCATCCAATGTGGGGTTCTATAATACAAGTACGGAAATGGACTGCTAAGATAGGCAAATAATTGGTCCAACAATATCTATAAAAGTGATTGGTAGTGAGAATGCCTTAATCTTAATCGTGATAAATGATAAAATTCCATATGCTTAGGACCTGCCATCAACAGTGCAGGGACTTAAAAACCCTTTGCTTCATCTCCTACTTATAGGGGTAAGGTAGTTGAGTTGATGTACAACTAAAAAGCTCATAGAAGCAAATCGGAGTAGACATGGCGTGATATTGCTTCGGATCATCTTTTTGTCGGTAATCTATTTGAAGCTTGAAGACGAGCCGAGTCAATATCACTCTTGTATGCTTCTTTTGATGTTACCGGTTTTTGATGAAGACGGAAGCATAATAAGTTCTGCTACGAAATCATGGTACGTAATCACCATAAAGTTTGGTCTTTCATATTTCTAAATTTTCTCAACCTCGGTTTCTGGCTGAACTTTTAGTTCAGGGATTTCATTTCTTATTCTTTGAGGCAGGGAAGCAGGGCCGGCCCTGATTATTTTTTGACCCGGGGCGAAATAAAAGAAATGGGCCTCTAATTTTAAAAAATTATAAAAACTATATAGAATAAAATTGATATTACTTTTTTATTAAAATAAACAAATAGTAATTAATTATCATCTCAAAAATGTCAAAAAAATATTAAAGCACACAAAAATTTATAGAAAACATTATCTTCGAGCATTTTTTGATACAAAATCATAGTGTCAACATCAATATTTTCCAACATATTTTTTTTTCATTACATAAAATAGCTAGCTTATCCAATCTTTTTTGTGACATTGTTAACTTCAAGTAATTTTTCAACAATTTCAGTTTAGAAAAGCTTCTCTTAATTTATTATGAGAAAAAAAAACAATCTCTAACTTACGAGAAAAAAATAATCTTTAACTTAGAAAAACACTTTCATTTCAGAAAAAAAATCCAACTGTATCAACATTCGACAAATTATTATGAGAAAAAATAATCTTAAAATTATTACAACATTCCCTTAATTTATTATCATCGAGTGACTTCAACCTTATAAAATCAATTAAAAATCCAAAACAAGTTTCAAAAATCTTTAAGTAATGTTTTTGTTTTTAAATTTAAAAATGGTTAATAAAAATTGAAAAAAAAAATGAACAGTTACAATAAATTTCCAAAAAATTTATAATCAAATCGAATTCTGCAAAGAAATGAACAGTTATAATAAATTTCCAAAATGAAATGAACGGTTATTCGTACAATAACTAACGTTTTTTATTTTAAATTAAAAAATGTAAAATTTAAAAATGGTTAATAAAAATTGAAAAATAATTAACGTCTATTGGATTTCCCAAAAAAATTATAATAATTAATGTTTATTGCATTTAATTCAAGAATTTTTTTTAATAAATTTACGGACCCTAACTAACCGGTAAAACCATTCTTTATGCATTGAAAAATAAAACTTTGCAGATACCAATTTTGCCCCTGCCCATGGCCGGCCCCGCGGGGAAGCAATGGTGGTTATCGTGTTGTGCAACAGTTTTTTGGTCCTTAAGGTTTGCTAGGAATGGGGCTGTTTGCAATGGAAGAAGATGTCTCTGGAGGAGGTCTCTTTTTAAGTTGTGATCTTTGTACAAAGTGAATGTTTCAAACAACGTTTCAATACAAGTTTTTATTGACAAATTGATAATCACTGAGAGAAATTTTATTATAAAAACTAAGATTTTTTATCACAAATTTTCGTGCAACACTACTATTATAAATAATTGTAATGTTATTTGATCGTTGTTATAATAGTTATTATGGTGATTAATTTTTTAAGATTAAATTCTCATTATAAGTCTATAATAATGATATAAATTTGACACTACTATTTTTTTTGAAAGGAAATTATTGACACTACTAGAATATAAAAAAATGCCTCCAATTGTTTTCTTTACGTTGAATGATATGATAATGATGACATATTAAGTGAATGTTTTGTGATAATGATTCTTTCGGTATTACGACTTTTACTACAATGGTGTTGTCTATAGATCAAATTATTTCATTAATTGGATTTTGTTTGTCCATCTACGACTCCTGGTCTATTTTAATAAAAATGTTTTTATTTTTTTAAAAAAAAATTCAACAATACCACAACATAACACATATCACTTAACAGATTTTTTTAATGACAATTACAATCTGGGCACCTATAGTGGTATGTTTGTAACATTAGACACCTGGATGAATGGTTAAAATTTAGGCCCCTATTTAATAAAAAGGATATAAATTAAGTACTTATTTTATAATTAAGCCTAAGTATTTTTGATTTAAACTAATAGTATAATAATACTAGATAAACTACCAGAATGATAATTTACTGTTTATATGTGTACACTTTTTTATTTAAAACCAAAAAAAAAAAAATGTTGGTCATTTACATTACCATTTTATCAACGTTTGATCATTGAGACATTAATTATCTTTATTTAATGAATAATATGAGTAAAAAAAATTAATTTAACAATTACAGACTGCAGATCAGATAATTCTTTTTCATTTATCCGATTTTAAATATGATTTTTCTTATATTTTCTAAAACCTTAACTTTCCCCCTAACAAAGGGAAGCGATAAGTGCTGCAGTAAACACGGATAATTTTTCATTTCTACAACTTATATATCCAAAATGTACAAAAAAATACACTAAATAAATTAAAATTTTGTTTTTTATTTTGCGTTAGACTGTGCTCGAAAGATAGGTAATTCGGGGTTAATTAGAAATTGAGAATCTGAAAGATTGTGAATGGGATGGTAGTTTGTTTAACTTTGGAAGCATATATTTTCCAATTTTCAGGTGGATTTTTATCTAATTCGCTATAAGATTTTAAATTTCCCTCCTACCGGCTTTATGCATGCTGAGTCGTTCCTGAGGAAGTCGACAGTTATTTTTCAATTGTTGTTAATCTTTTGTACGATGTTCGAGACTAAACAATGTCTGTAAAAACAAATAATGAATGATAAAAAGAATGCCTAAACTTGATTATCACGAAAAACATCTTCGTAGAGGTAACCTAAACTTTCAAGACTAGAACTTGTTGAGACCGTTTTCAAAAGAAAGGCCCTACAAAAATAGGCGTATGCCGCTTTAGGCGGCGAGCGCACGGTGTTCTTTAGTAAAAGGCGAAAGAAGAGTTCGCTATGCACTCACCACACGGCTCCGTGAGACTTAAAAACTGATTTGCATGAAGTCACTCGGGATGAACTTGTTTATCTCTTAAAGACGTGGGATCCTTGTCTTTCCTGCTTCTGTCACTATTCAAGCCTTCTTTCAACCTTCAATTTACCTACACCATGACTTTGTCCTCCCCTGATTGAAGCATTTCTTCCTGAAAACAATAAGACATTTGCGTACATGACGAAAAGGATTGTTGCGAAACCTTTTTTGTCTTCTTCGGGCTTTGCAGTTCCATTAGCGTGTAGCATTTCTGTCGTAACCGTCTTTCGGTTGGGCCCCGGAATTGGGCTTCGACTTGAAAAATGTGATTGGAGTCGCCACCGATTATTTATTTAAAAAATAAATAGGTTAATCGGATATCTTATATCTTACCTGATCTGCGTCTTACCAAAGATATGTCGGATTCGGGAGTCGATTACGGTCAAGGAAGGATTAGCACCCTTGAACCGCCCTTTCGGTACTACGTAATTTGCCGGTTGTCTTAAATTAAGAAAATTGTAATTTAAAATTAAAAGGTAAAAATACGATCACAATTACTTACCTTAAATAGTTTTAAAGGTGTGGCCTTAAGAAGGTCAAAAAACCATGTTAGATAAAAAGGTAATAGATTAAAAGGTAAGAAATAAATTAATTAATTAAATTAAAATAAAGAGAAAACAAATTAAATAAAAGATAAGATAAAGAAAACAAAGATAAAATAGTAAGTAAAATAAATATAAAAAATAAAGAAAAAAAAGAAAAAAAAATATAGAAATAAAACAAATAAATAAAATAATAAAAAAGTAAAAATAATATATATATAAAATAAAAAAATAAAAAAAGTAAATATATATATATAAATTAATAAAACTGATAATAAAAAATAATATATTTATATATAATCTAAAAAAAATAAAAATATATACTAAAGTAAAAAAGAAAATACATAAAATGTAAAAAAATATTACATGAAAAAAAAAGAAAAATAACAAAACAATTAAATAAAATGAGTAACAAGGGAAATGTTCTTATAAATAAAGTTAAATAAATAAAATAATAATAATTAAAACGTAAATGTAAGAGACCAAATCAAAAGTAAAAAAGATACTACCTTTTATTTATTTTTCGAATCGTTTACAATAGCTTTGCCTTTGTATCTTCTCGTGCTTTCCTCTATGTTTTGTGTGTAAATCGTGTCTTACAATGGTGAGTTACAATGGCTATTTATAGTGCTTGTGGATCCTATCTTTAGGAGTTTAAATCATAAAATTCGATCCCATTTTTTGAATCCTAGCAAAATTCTATCATATCTTTAGGAGTTTGAATCCTAAAATTCTATCCTATTTTTAGGAGTTTGAATCCTAGTAGGACGAAAAATGTGTGTTGACAGCTGCCCCTCTTTGCCCATAGTCGTGTAACGGGGATAGGGCAAAGATTAAAAGACACACTTTTCGTTCAGTGGAGTTGAAAATTAACTCTGATGTTTCAATAACTCCCTGTCGAATTGAGTTACGGATGACTCCTCCATCGTGAAGTCGAGTTCATCTTGAAATGATATGAAATTAAAGCCGTAGTTCAGAATTTGAATCAGCACGTGGCTTCCCGTTACCCTTCGGTCTTCTTCTCGGTTTAAAGACCTTGGATCGGAATAGAACTGAGAAATCTTCATTGACAGATAGCTTTTTCTTGACTTAAGCTATGCTGTTTGAAAATGTTTGCTTGTCACTAAGGCACGGCTAACCCAGGTCCTCTCCTCGACTTGAAAACCTCGACTGCAACCGGAAAGTAGTGCGATTGATGTGTCATCGAGCTGAATGGAGTCGAACTCGATAATTTTGATGGCAAATAATCCTTCTTTGAGTTGGATATCCTTCGTCGTGAAGTTGAAATCCAAGTAAGTAGCATAATTCCAAGTCCAATATCCTCCGTCGTGAAGTTGAAATTGGCTCTGGAACCGGAAAATTGTTTGTTGACAACCAGCCGTCCCTTCGTTGTGAAGTTGAACTTGTGTTGTCTCGAGTCCAATATCCTTCGTTGTGAAGTTGAGATTGGCTCCGAAATTGTTTGTTGATAGTCAGCCGCCCCTTCGCTGTGAAGTTGAGCTTGTGCTGTCTTGGGTCCAATATCCTCCGCTGTGAAGTTGAAATTGGCCCTGAAACTGGAAAATTGTTGTTGACAACCAGCCGTCCCTTCGTTGTGAAGTTGAACTTGTGTTGTCATAGGTAGCATGATATCCTCCGTCGTGGAAAATCAGCTTTGAAATTGGAAAGTTGTTCGTTGACAACCAGCCGTCCCTTCGTTGTGAAGTTGAACTTGTGTTGTCTTGAGTGGCACGATATCCTCCATCGTGGAGTTGAAATCGCAGATGGCCCATTCGTTTTGAAGTTGAGCCTTGACTTGAATATCCTTCGTCGTGAAGTTGAAATCCAAGTATTGTATGTTGCGGGTGGACACAATTCCCTTCGCCGTAAAGTTGAAACCGTGGAGACCCCTTTATTGTGAAGTTTGGCTTCGAGCTAGATATCCTTCGTCGTGAAGTTGACATCCACTCTCGAGCAAATTATGTCGCTTTGAGTTCAATATCATTCGCCGCGAAGTTGAAATTGACTCTAGCTAAAACCTGAAAAAGTTATGCATATATGTGATGCTATGGATGCAATGCTCTTAGGTGTGCCTAAAATGCATATGCAACATATGTTATTTTTTGGGCTCAGGAGAGAAATCTCGATCTTCGGTTGCTTCTCTGGAATCTTAGTTCTGGAATCTTCAAGTTCTGATCCCTGATCTCGAATTCTTCAAATGTTCAAATCTGATGTGCACATTCTATTTTTTGATTTGAGAAATGCTTCTCGACCATCCCAAGTATGTGCCTGAGCTGAGTGTAACGGTTTAAATGATGCTTCAAGAGAAGTTGTCTTAAAAAAGACAAAATTCGTTTCAAGGGAAACGATCTTAAAGATATATGTTGTTTCATGAGAAACGGCCTCAAGGGAGACAAAATTTTGTTTTAAAGGAAATAAACTCAAAGATTTTGTGTTTCAAGAGAAACTGTCTCAAGGGAGACAAAATTTGTTTCAAGGGAAACAATCTCAAAGGTTTTGTGTTTCAAGAGAAACATTTTCAAAGGTTTTTTGTGTTTCAAGAGAAACAATTTCAAAGGTTTCTTTTTGTGTTTCAAGAGAAACTGTATCAAGGGTGACACAAAAAAACATATTCAAGGATTGATGTTTCAAGAGAAACTGTCTCAAGGGAGACAAAATTTTGTTTTAAGAAAAACTTGTCTTAAGATAGACAAAATTTGTTTCAAGAGAAACTGTCTCAAGAGAGACAAAATTTGTTTAATGTAAAACATATTCAAAGATTTTGTTTCAAGGGAAACTGTTTTCAAAGTTTATGTTTCAATAGAAACTGTCTCAAAGGAGACAAAATTTGTTTCAAGGGAAACTATCTCAAGAGAGACAAAATTCATTTCAAGGGAAATGCTTTCAATGTTTATGTTTCAAGAGAAATTGTCTCAAGGGAGACAAAATTTTGTTTCAAGGGAAACTATCTCAAGAGAGACAATTTATTTCAAGGGAAATGTTTTCAATGTTTATGTTTCAAGAGAAACTGTCTCAAGGGAGAAAAAATTTTGTTTCAAGGGAAACTGTCTCAAGAGAGACAAAGTTTGTTTCAAGGGAAACTGTCTCAAGAGAGACAATGGTGAGCATGATTCCCTTCGTCGTGAAGTTGAAATCGTGGGTGGCCCCTTCGTCGTGAAGTTGAGCCAGGAATTGGATATCCTTCGTCGTGAAGTTGAAATCCAACTTGAAAATACAAACTGGATCGGTTCTGAATTATCTCTCGAACTCGTCTGAAGTTGATTCTAAGATCTGTCGATCTTTCAATATGTCAAATTGGTTGAAGTGTAGCTTCTTGCTGCTGAGTTAAGCAACCAACATCAATCTTTAAAGGTGCTTTTGAATCGAGTATCCTTCGTCTTGAAGTCGAAACTTGACTCTAAAAGCTGCAAAAATTATGTATGTGGGAAAAAAATGATGCTCTAAAATGTATGCATAAGATGCATATAACATGAATTGGTTATATTTATCTCCTGAAAAAGGCCTGATAATTCGCATTAGGATGTTGAATCCCCAAAGATGCCCAAAAAAAATGCCCCAATATTTCATGTTGAATCTTCAAAGATGCCCCAAATGTTCCTCATTTCTTGCTTCAGCATTGATTCTGAGCATGAGTTTTGTGCCTAAGAGTCACATGTCATTTACCAAGATCCACTCTAGAGAGACTGTCTTGTTTGAAAAAAAATGTTTTTCTTTCTCTTTTAATATCAATTAAAAGAGTTTCAAAAAATGTTTAATCCCAAGTTTTAAAAATATTGCCCCTTTCACAGTTTTACAATTGAGACGAATCATAAAACTAGAGTTCATTGGATATCAAAGAATTAATTACAATGTTAATCCTTCAATAAATTATAGCTATTTGACAAGTGTCAAGATCAAAGCTATCTTTGAGAGATGGTCAAGTAAGGAAAGGATAAGAAGTCTCAGGTCATTGTGTTTGGTCAAAGGTTTGGCATTTGATGCTCAAAGGTTTGGTATTTGATGCTCAAAGGATTGATGGGGTAGCTTGCATGCTTCTCTACTGGAAGTGTTCTCTGACTCCCAACCTTCGTTGTCACACTCGGATTGTGCGATGCCTTATCAAGGAATTTGTGTGATCGCCTCAGTTGCACAATTTTTATATTCGAGCCGCCTTTTCAGGTTTTCAACTCGAATCCTCCTTTGGTTTCAAGACGTTATTCAGGATTTACGTCTTGAACCCCCTTTTTTATTTTTCTCTACCATACATTAATTACATTGTTTTTTTGCAAACAAAGATTAATCCTGATGGGCGGGATGAAATCTGAAGATAGTCTCTTCTATTTAGAAATCCATGTATGATTAGAAGGGACTTTTAAGGCACGTAATGTAGGCCAGGGTTCGTGGTTATGAAAGAAAAGGATA